CCTTCCGGCCTTCTCCCAGCGCGCAGGCGCAGAGAGCGAGCCAAGATGGCGGCGCCCGTGGATCTGGAGTTGAAGAAGGTAAAAGCGTTTTGAGTAGGCCGAGGCTTTTCTTTGGTAGCTAACAGGGCCGTGGACAAGAATATTGAGGAGGCTCTAGTCTTGCGGAAGGAAAAAGGCCCCAGGGGACTGGGGAATGATTTCTCAGAATCCTAAGGCGGGACCACGTCTCCTAAGGTTGGAGTGGGGGGCTAGCGGCTCTTGCTGGATAAGAGCCTATTGGGCTGGGTTGCGTTAAGTGTAGTGGGTCGATAGCTAGCCTGTGCACCTTGTTCGAGCTCCAGAGCTGTTTCGTTGCGCTTGCAGCCTTCTGTTCGATAATAAGGCCTGAAATGAACGTTTCAGATTGAATTCCCTTAGGCCAGATTGCCCGAGCTGAGGCATCTGTAATGCTACATCTTGACTTGCTTTGAAAAAAATCGAAGTCCGACCGATGCTTTTAGGTCACTTACTCGATCCCATACCTGGAAAAGTGGCAGTATTGTTTAGAGTCAGATACTCTTATAGCAGTGTTCATCTTAGGGCTCTGACTCCCCCTCCCCCACGTCACCGTTTTCGAAGGACCTATTTTTTTAGATACAAGTCCAGTAAAGTTTTCCAAATAAAATTGATAGCAGAAGGAATTAGGTTTTTCTCTTCAAACAATTGCTTATAAATGTGTTACTCAGAAGCGTTTTTTGCCACCAAAGAGTTGTCAGGATTCTAACACCGCTACCGACTCCAAACCATATTTTTTTGGTGGGGGAGGGGGACAGGGATTAGAAAGGATCGTAGGCTTCATTTATTTTAAACCTACATTTTTCTAGAGAAAGAGACTGAGTTCCAGAAAAGACTCGGTCAAAGGTTGGGAATATTATCCAGTTTTTCTGTTTTACTCCACACCTTTTGACTGTTATCTTAGGTTCTTCAGAAGAGCAAATTTTTCATATTTTGGTCAACCTTTGTATAAGAAATAGGACAGCTGAAATGGTGCTCCTAATAAATGATGTTTGTTATTCCTGTAAGGATTTGTGTGTATATGTGTCTTGCTTTTTGTCATTCTTGTTTTGAAACTTGTAAATTTGGCCCTTACTTGGCGTCCTCTAATGTTGTAGTGTCTCAGGTTTAACAATATACTAGCTTCCTTATTAAACTGTGTACGGAACAATCAAGCAATATCTGTAATTTTACATGCAAAACAAAGTTCATTTTAAGAATGCTTAAAGCATTCTAAAAGTTTACCATTTTTTTTCCTGATAAAAGTTCAAATTTAAGTCAGGGTTTGGTGAAAGCTAACAATAGAGTACAGCTGTGAATGAATTTACCTCCCAGTATTATTTGAATTTGTTGCTAAGAAACCCGTGGGCAGTTAATGCAGGCTAAGAAAATGATTACAGACTTAAATGGGATAGTTTTGACAACCATTTAAATTAACAAAATAAAACAAAAAGACTTGTGTAAAGATTTTATCTGCTAAGGTTTGCCTTTATAAGGTTTAGTTTTGTTTTGTTGTTTTTTGGCTGGAGACATAGGAAATCACAGGCACCTCTCCCAAAATAAATCTTTTGAATTCTTACTCTAGTAGATGAGAACAAAGTCTCACAGTAAAAGTTAAATAGCAGCCTTTGCTGTGTATTGCAGTCTCAAATGTTATGTTTAAGGCATAAATTTGACAACATGTGAAAGTCATTCTAGGCACTTGAACAAGAGTATCCAAGAATTGTGTTTATCTTTGAGTTAAGGGTGCACAAGCATCAAATTTGGCTTGGTATGTGAATATGAAAATCACGATGCAATTCTTCTACCAATGCTTTGAAATTTCTTCTCTCTATTTTAATATTTCTCTTAAAGATATTTATATCTGGATATTACTGGAGACAGTAGAATAGAAAGGTTTGTGAACTAGGGGTCCAAAGAAATGGATTTAAGTACCCACCTTTTCACCTGATGGTTGTCCAACCCTGTGGAAGCCACTTATATCTCTTTAACATATTTAGTTACTTAATTTGTAAATTGTGATTATGAAACTGCCTTCCCTAACTCAGGGTTATTGAGAGGAGTAAATGAGATATTTATTTATCTCTCAGCGTTATCTTAATATTCCATTGTTAGTATTTGAAATCTAGTGGAGTAATACAAATGCAGAGTTGTTATGTTTATAGTTCTAGTTTTGGATCTTTGGGTTTCATCCTCTATTACATTTATTGCTTTTATTACTCCTTGGTTACCTGCTACTTGATGTGGTTATTATTTAGTGTGCATTTGTTTCTGCTTCTTCAGATAGATTCCATGATTTGAGGACGGTAAATTCAGTATTTAGCCTAGTGGCTTGATGGATTACAATTGTGCTGACTTTTATTGATGTTTGCTTTGGTAAATTTCACAGCTTTGTCTCTGGTTAGCATGCTTTATTTTAATATGTTTGGATTTGACTTAAATGTTTCCTGTAAAATGTTTCACCTACTAAATCAAGGACTTGTTTTTATTAGGCCTTCACAGAGCTTCAAGCCAAAGTTATTGACACTCAACAGAAGGTGAAGCTTGCAGACATACAGATTGAGCAGCTAAACAGAACGAAAAAGCATGCACATCTTACAGATACAGAGATTATGACTTTGGTTGATGAGACTAACATGTATGAAGGTGTAGGAAGAATGTAAGTAAAATATATCTTTAAGGGGTTTATCTTGGGAGAGATTTTTTCTGAATTTAATTAGAGAATTTGTTCATTTTAAAACTTGGGTTAAAGTATCAGAGTAGCTTTAAAAATCATCTAGTGAAATACTTTTTCTTTTTTAAATGAGAACCTGAACCCCAGATAGATGTGTTTTATTTTAGACTTTGAAGTACAATTCTTAAATATTTCCTCTTCTCTCTACGACTAGATACTTAAAAGTATGTAACTTCAATGATAAATATATGAGTTGTCATGAAAAGATGTTTATAGTAATTTTGTGTTAAGATTTAAATGGATGTGAGGGCGATCTGGCTGCGACATCTGTCACTCCATTGATCACCATGGTTGATTTGGCTGATCTGGGTGGCTAGCGGGGTGTCCCCTTCCTTTCTCACCGCTCCATGTGCGTCCCTCCTGAAGCTGCGTGCTCAGTCGAAGAGGACCATTCTTCGGTCAAGGGTATACAGTAGCTGTGCTCCCCTACTAGAACCTCCAAACAAGCTCTCAAGATTTATTTAAGTAACTGTAATTTTAACCTCCCCTCCCTTACCTAATTTATGAGGAGTCATACAATTCATAAATTGTTTAGGTGTTGACCAGTGCTGTAAAATAAAAATATTCAATTGTCATTTAAATACACTCATTCTGTCATACATGAGAAATCTAGTAAACTAATTTACCTTTTGTTTGTTCTAATTGTTATTATATGTTTAACCACCCACATTTCACTTTTTTCTTTAAAAATATCTTGCACTTATGAGAAAGTAGATATGCTTTATGTTCTCTGAGCAGTAAGTAAGGAATGGAAAAGCCCTTAACTACAGGTCACATTCCATTACAATGAGCTAAAAGGAAAAGACTGATTTTTTTTTAATTGGGGGAGGTACAGCAGGAGGATTTTTCTGGAATTTGGTCTTTGACTATTACTTAGCTAGTTGACCATTACTTTCAGTTTGGAGAGCTTTTTTGTTGGAATGGAATTTGACCTCAGTCTTAGGGTGACTTGTTTTGTGATTGGTTTGAAGGAAGCATAACATGTCTAACATTTAGTAATGGCTTTGGAATGACATCATGAGAAGTAACCCTGCTCCTTACTAGCTAATCCATATGTTTTTGGAAAGAAATAGATTATGATAAACTGTTAATTTGATTTGCTTTCTCAGAATAAACAATATACCACAAATTTATTTCTATAGTTCATATTTTTCTTTTTAGCTTATTTAAGAGGAAGAGAATCCCAATTTGAGAGTTTGTTACTGGGACACAAAAGAATTGGGATGAGAACAAAGTAGAACTCTTGAATATGTGTCTATGTAGTATGAAGTGTGCATTGTTGGCATTCCCTAGAGGATAATTTTATCCTTAATGTGAATATCCTTAGGTCTTAAAACAGTAATGCTAGCTTTTCTAGCATGCTTGTTAACATGTTGTACTTGGATTTCACATCACTGCTTTGGCCTTTGTTTGCAACAACTAAAGAATCTTTTTCCAAAATAGAAAATCTCTGACTATCTTTGGCTTTTTGAACTACAATGAAGTTTTTATTTTTAATTAGAATAATTTCATTTATTAAACATTCTGCAGAAGTGATAGGAGTGTTGCTTTTTTTTTTTTTTTGCATATTGCCTGAAGTCCTACAGATAGGTGATATTCCACACAAAGAATTTTAGAATTTAAACGCTAGGATATGAATTAATAGTATTTCCAGAAGATTTATTTCATGTTAATTATGTTTCTTAAAAAGAATGTGTAGCTTTAAATGTTTGGATAAAGTGGAACTCCTATATGGTTTTACCCTTTGGTTTTAAATTTGACTTTTGTGCTTTCTGCATCTTACCGGGAATATGCATTTGACCCTGCATTGTAGGGGCATGTAAGGTGAATAGTGTTTGTTTGGCTAGAGTATTAGTGCCCTCTGGAAGAAAAGACTTGCTGAATATTAGTCTGGTCATGAGGACGTTCTCTTTCTTGATGCTAAACCTGAAATATCTATTTCTGAATTTTTAGTCTTGGGTAATCCTGAGTATCATTGTGATTCACTTCTTTAATTGTAGTTTTTACCTTAAGTTGTCTTTTTTTTTTCCTTTTTGAATATTTGGAAATTCTAATTAGAGTACTAATTTTTCTCAAACTGCCGTTTAAAACCATGGTTTATAAAATCCAAAACACTCCGTTTTTGTTTTAGAACCTGCAGCAGATTTTTGCCATCTCTGAAATTCAGGCCTCATTTTATCTTGTGTAGACGATTGCAGTAGCATCTTAACTTTTTCTGCTTTTATTCTCTATGTCCAAATGCATTCTTCACACATCTGCCAGAATTGGTCATGACAGTATTCTTCATAAAATTCTTTGTTCATTCTCTTACTCACAGGGTAAAATCTAAACTTGTTAGCCTAGCATTCACGGTCGTTCATCATCTGTCTTTAATTTACCCTTCTAGCCTCAAGTCCCACCACTTTCTATTCCCAGGCTTAGGATAGCATGTAAATCTCGTGGACCTACCTCCTTCCACGTTTGGGTTATCTGTTGAGAAGGAATTTGAGTCTCATGTGGACTTTAAACATGCTTTAATTGATTAGTAATGTCTGTCATGGGCCGAGGGCAGAAGAGTAGTAGCAAATGTACCAGAACTTGTTACCCCTGCCCTTACACTTACCCTGGCATGGGCTTCCTCACACATGCCATGTTTTTATGCTTTCTTGCTTCTGCTCATTCTATCCTTCTAGGCCTGCAAAATATCCATTTTCTCTTGTGAAATTCTCGTCCTTCAAATTATAGTTCATCTTCTGTGAAGATTTTTCATCCTTCCTGGCAGACTTAGTCTCCTTTATGGATGATCCCAGGGCTTGTGTTCCTATAGCTAGTAGAGCATATTGAAAGAGGGCCGGGGGCATGGCGGGGGAGAGATTTTTAAATGGGTCAGTCTCCCCAACTAGATTGTCAGCTCCGTGAAACCATATACATATTTATCTTTGTTTTTTTTAGTTCTTAGAATGTCTGGCACAAAATAGATGTTAAATATGTGTTGATTTGAGTTGAATATGATTCTTTCTCTTACCTAAAATAACATTTTCTTTCAGTTCTTTAGAAAGAAAATATGTTTAAAAGTGTCAGAGACTTAAGAATTAGAATTTATTATTCTGTTTTCATATTATGATCTGATAAAGATGAAATTACAAAAGTAACATGTATTTTGACTAAGATCAAAGGAATTGTTTTTGAGAAAAATTATGTCATTTGATCTGGCAGGATTAATTCTTTATGAAATCTTTTGAGAAGTTTGACTAATTTTAAATACCAATCAGTGACAGAGATAGTCAACCAAAACTGACAATATAGGAAAACCCAAGCCTTTAAAATTAGGCTGAGGGCTGTGTAATCTTTGGCAAATAAAGGTATTCTATGCAGAATAATATCAATATAATTGTATCTATTTTACCTTCCTCACCTTCACAAAAGATGAAAGTCAGATTTTTATTTTTAGGGTATGTATTTTACCAAATCATTGCAAGCCTTTCAAGTCATAAGTATGGAGAAATTTGTTAGTTTTAAATACCTCTTATACATGACTATTTTTGGCTTAAAACAAGGAAAATCATGCTTCAGGATAAGAGATAATGAATTGCTATATACTGTAAGCTCTGCATGTTTGTTGCTCAAAGCTCTATTCCCTCCAGTCTCTTGGTGTGTTGCCAGCACATTTTAGTTCTGTTACTTCATATTCTTTGAAGAGGCTGTTATGTAGCCTGATACTACTACCACCAATTTCTAGTTTTACTCCTTTAAGCTGTTTGTGAGCTGACCTCACCATACTACTTTGAGAGCTATGATGAAAGTTACAACTGTGGAATGATCTGTCTGAATAGTTGGAAGTGTTTGTCTTTGCATCTTTCTAGCATGCAAGGAGGGAATAGACACATCTCAAATATTACTTGAATGTTTCTTGTATCTTTTTTTTCATGACTAAGAACCAGTTTATAATGGTATGTGTTTTTCTTTCTTTTTACTTTGCATAATAGAGGAGTATTTTTTTAAAAAATAAGAATTACATTTGAAAGTGCACATAAATGACATTTAACTGGTGTTTGAAAGGACCATCCTTAGAAATATCAAACTTATTTTTATAACAGTAGGTGTGATCCTGACCCCGATTTTACGTCAGGTCTATTATTCTAATATCCTTTTGCTTAAGCATTACATAAATAACATTTCTCCTTTCCAAAATAGACAAATTAAGCCTTTAATTTTTTTAATTTAGGAGGAACTTGAGTAGATTAGCCTTTGAGAAGAATGATTAGTGCCTTTTTAAAACTTGAACCTAACTAAAAATAACTTTGTACTATATTTAAACTAATTTAGAGGTATGCCACCATTCTGTGGGTATTTTTTACATTTAGGGAACTAAGAATGAACAATGGTATAAATCTACCAACTAGATAAGTGTCTAGCAATGCAGAAATTGCTGTTTGGGAGCGGTGTTGCTATTTCTACTTGTTGAAGTAATTTGATGGTTGATCTCTAATGGTTAAAAGATCCAGAAGTGTAAGACTTAAGATAAATGTGGCACAGGTAGAAAGTGAAAACAGTAGGTCTGTTCTTGATAGGTAACAAATTTTAAAAACCAAATAGTTGAGCAGTTTTTCAGCTAGTTAAGATGTAGAGATCCGAACTGTCTATGACAGCTTGGTTAAACTGCCCTTTGTTTAAAATGTTATGTTGGTTTTGTTTTGATTTTAATTGTTTGTTTGGATGTTAACCTGTAATTTGAATTGTGACATTTGGTAAAGCTAGGATGAAATTTTCACAGTTTCTCTAAGTTTAGGTAAGTTTAATATTAATGGAAAGGGATATAGTCATGCTGCTCAAGTTTTGCAACCATTTTACAAGTTCATGTAACTGTAGAGTTTATTAAGAAATAAACCAGAAATTGTGGTGCGGTATATATTGTTGCTATTATAGTAAAATAGTTTATATTGTTC